TTCTTCAACAACAAAACCCCAAAACCCCAAAACCCCAAAACCCCAAAACCCCAAATTTAGAAACTTTTATTGAAAACTTTAAATTATTATGGAGAAGATTGTGGAATTCGGTAAGACTTATCCCAGAAGTATCCTTCAGAGCTACATTCTGTACACTAACTCCTTCATCATGTAACTATCCACTACTCTAGTCCCCTAGTAGCTTACCTTGTGCTATAGCTTCTGTACCTTCTAATGCTCTGTTAAATTCGAAACCGATTCTATGAACGCCAGTGAAGTTCAGGAAGGAAGACCAGGAGGCGACTGTCAACTTGTTCGTGTCATATATTCAGAAGGCGAATAGTAGGTGTACGGATGGGTTTAGGTTGGAGGGACCAGATTGTATGAGCGGCACGGCTGCGAGCTTGTATGGTTGAGGGTAATAGGCTAGCTAAAAATAAACCAGGGGCGAAATGTATTTAACTAATTAATCATTCTCTGAGCTGCATTGCTGTTTCTTGCCATCGCTAATACTATTCTTTCTATCATTTCCATCTACTTACTCTAAAATTAAAGCTAGACATATTCAGTGAAATTTCAAAGGGTCTTCTTCAGCTTATAGGAAACCTTTTATTAATTTGTAAGAACTCAAAAATCTCTGATACGAGGAATACTATTGAGATAAATTCCAGTAACAAAATTATGAAGAAAAATAGTAGTTTTAAGCTAAATTTTCCATCAGACAGGATCAAGATATGCTTTTCATTACTCTAATACTCTTTGTTTGCTGAGATTTGGTCTGAATAGACTCTGCTCAACCAAATTGCTTCCAAAATGGGTTGTAATACCACTTTCGTATTCATATTACCTAATAATACCACTTTCTGTAATTTCAAACCGAATAATGAGCGAAATCTTTCTCTTCAACTTATAGCAAAGTAGCATGAAGCAAGTCATAGGCGCTTCTTTTAATCATTCCTTGGCCTGACTGGACTAAAAATACCACATGGATAATAAAATTAATTTGTTACTCAGCTCGAAGGGGTTCAACCAACTATTTGGGATAGCTGAAAATTACATAAATTTTACCCGATTCTGAGCTAGTTCTCTATTACAGTTTTCATACATTTTTGATCGTTGGTCACCTTGATTACCACTTCCTCACTATTGGGTATTAAATTCTGAATTTCAGGAAAATATACTATTATTCTGGAAAAATGAGGTCAAATTTGGTTCATAAATTGGCTTATAGATAAGCAAAAGATGAAGAAGCGGAAAATTCAGACCCAGAATTTAAAGGTTAATGTAAGAATAACTCTACTAGCTCAAATTAGAAGAAAGTACTCCTTCAACGGAAAACTGGGGTTTTAGGTTTTTGTAGTTTGAAACACTGCTTTGTGGACTTCCTGATGCTTGAAATATACTGACTGATTATTTATATAGCCGAATAACGAGGTCATGACTCCACAAAGGTATTTTTACTTCTGACTTTATAGGCTTAGCAGCAAATTTATAGCACAAAACATTATTTCTCATTGCAGTACACCTGGTCTGCCTAGTTTGAATAGTTCAAAACGGAAAATTATAACGTAGGATTTCTTCTTTAAATTGTCTATTTTAATATAAAAATTTTGAGCAAAAGGTCTGATTTTTATCGTTTTGGTATCAGTAAGAAATCGAAGTCTCCAAGTAAGGACAAGATCATTAAGAAATCAAAGTTCAAGGTGCTTAAATAAGATCCTTAAGAAGAACGCAAGGAATCGAAACCAGAGACTCTTGCAGCCTCAGAAATCCTCTGAGATCTCCTTAAAAATGAAACGAGCGATTATTGGTAAGCCTTTGGAATTATAATCTAGAAAATAATAAGAAAAGGTTTGCTGCTACAAGGAATTCTTCTCACTATAAGCATATGAGGACTTGTTCAATGTCTTCAGTGTCCTCATCAGGGCATAATTGTAATCTTTACAGTTTTCAGCCTAATTATCCAAAGTCAAATTACTGAGACACTCTCGCTGAGATTTTGAAAAAGAGAAGTAATCAAAGAATCCTCCAGAGAAGAAATAATTGGTCTGAGGTTGGCTTAATGCCAAAATATGGCTAAATTTGGTACAAATTACAAAGTACTATAAAATCTCTATTATTGTGGCTCATGAATCTGGAAGGTAGCTTGTAGACTTTTTCTTTAGCATGGAAGAGAAATGATAAGTGGAAGATAATGACTCCACGAAAGAGAAAAGGTAGACAGCTACCGTTCAGATTCATGAATCACAATACTCCCCTTAAGAATCTCCCTTAAAGAAAAATCAACCAAGGAAAATTTTGGCTCTTAAAACCTCAAAATGTGGCCTATCCGCCCTCATTTCACCCCAAAATGTTCTTTTGTTACCCTAATGTCCTCTCTGGTCCTTCTCGTCGCTTACCTGCTTATTATCCAGCAGCTTGTTCTAGCAGCTGGAGTCTTTCCCCACCAAAGCTGGATGCTCGCTTTAGGATACTTTCATTAATTTTTAAAGGATTTGGGGTTTTGGGGTTTTGGGGTTTTGGGGTTTTGGGG